ATCATTCACATTAATCTTCTTTGAAACTTGAGTATTCCGATGCACTTGAACTGAGTCTGACCATCATAGAATACAATGGAATGATTACTTCCTGGGATTGGGACAATAACTTTGTTGACACAGCCCAATTTTGTATTTGTCTTTTTTGCAACCACACGACACATCTGGCTCATATTTAATGTGAAATCAATTACTAATCTGTTTTTCACAAGTACTATTATTAAGCTAGTATTCCCTATCATGTATTATGCTTCAGATTTTTGTTTCCTAACTGAAGAATTTTTCACTGTTAAATGTTACTCTGTTATTTTCTGACATTTTCATTTCTCTTTTCTAAGGTATTAGCTAGTCCACTGAGTTTTGTATAATCAGTTAATTTGGTAAGCATTCCCTCCACCTCTTCATCCATTTCTAATAAAATACTGAAGAAAAGAGAACCAAGGTCTGAATTTTGAGATGGTTCACTTGATGTCACTTTAATTTGATTGATGAGCTCTTTTAGTACAATTTTCAAGCCAGCTATCTTCTTAATGTCATGCCATTCAGTCTTCATAGGGTAATCTGCTGATCAGAATGACACGATATACATTGTCAAATTTCTTGCTAAAGTATTTTCCTCTTGGTGACACAACAGCTGATTGATATCTGACAGGTGTATTACATCCTTGACAGGTTGAGTAGCCTAATGGAAAAAAGTTCCATTAGTTCAACAGTAGCACACATGCTTACATTAAAAATATTCCCAGTTAAATTTGGAAATACCTAAATTAAATAGATCTGGAAAAAAAATCTGCAGCTGAAACTACTGAGAACTACCCTTAGTCAATGTAAGACAACTTCCCTCTATCAATGTTCTCCAGTTGATTTGGACCATAGCTGCCATCTTTCCTAACTACAGACCATATTAATTTAATTTAATGGAAACTGTAGCCTTCAGTATCTAAGACAAGTTAAGTAATTGAGCGAATGGTTTGACTCAGTATAACATAGATTCTTATGCTGAGCAGAACTAGACATAGGTATCACACCATGGGTTCATCTAATCCAGTGGTTCTCAACCTGTGGGTCGGGCCCCATTTGGGGTCGAACGACCATTTCACGGGGGTCGCCAAACAATGCAGTCCGCCATTCCCCCCCCCTTTTCCTTAGCTGTGCTACTCCCTTTTATTCTATTGGCTTTTGAAAGCCAATAGAATAGACTCTCTTGAATAGAGTCTAATTCTATTGGCTTTCAAAAGCCAATAGGAATTGTCCAGGCTGTCTCTGCCCTGCTGAGTCCGCCAAAAGTCCCATTCTGCAAACGGTGCTGCAAGTTGTTTGCAGCGAAGGCGAGCTGTCTGGAAGCTTCCACCTCTCCCTGCTGAGCAACTACTAAAAATGTAAGTAAAAGAGGGCCGGGGTGGGAAGTGGAAGGCCGGCGGGCGCAGGGAGGGTTGCTGGCATGCATGGGGCCCGGCAGGTGCCTTACCTCCCTTGGGCTGGGCCAGCTGGTGGCCCAGCCGGTGGTCGGCCTGCGCCGTCTCTGCCGCTTGCCAGCTATGCCTCGGCTGGCACAGGGGGCGGCACCACGCATGTGCGGCGCTCCCGGGCAGGGAAAGTCCTTTACTTACAATCTTGTTGGGTAGTCCTCGACTTATGACCAGTTGGGGGTCACAACATTAAAAAGGTTGAGAACCACTGATCTAATCCAAGACCCCCAGATTGTCAGAAAGTGTCCAGCTTAAGGTTTAACTCAGTCTTCTTGCCTAACATCGTCAGGAAGCAATATGTTTTACCCCTGAACTACAGAACCCAAACATGGAACCCAAAACGCATTTCCCCCTAAATGAAAGAAAATCAGCTATTGTATCTAAAGTCTCTTCTCCTCCTTCAATTCATACCTGGGGATCAACAGGACAACACTACTTCTTCAACCTCAGCTTTCTTTTCTTCTTTGGAGCCTTTCCTCTGGATAACTTAAGTAGCATTTCCAATCTTGCTTTTATCAGCTGACCTTAAGTTCTGTCTCAATGACACTTTAGAAGGTTTAGAGTGCATATTGATAGGCTTAAACCTAACTCTTGGGAGCAAAAGACACTTGAAACTAATACCAGTATATCAGATTAAGAGACTGTTTTTTTGAGATTAGCAGTGATAAAAAAGGGTCAAATAAAGCTCTACCCCTTGCCATCACTTAGATGCAATACAGCAACTGCTTCCACCAGCAAAAATATCGTGAAAGCAGAAAGAGGTAAGGAGACATTTTAAAGAAGAAGCAATAAATAGCACAAAAAGGATCCTATGGGACTAGTGCTATATTGTGGAATCCATGTTCACCATGTTGACTAGCTATAAACTTTTTATTTAATAATGAACTTTGATGGTTGGGCGTCTAACTTTTGAGAACTAAAATGGGTTCCCCAACCTAAAGAAATATAAGGGATAGTTCATATACATCTGCATGAAGATATATAGCAGTAAATAAAAAGATACATATTTTAAAAACCTAAACTGATAATATCTGATAAAGATTTGGAAGAAGGATCCTAAGATATAAGGATATTAAATAGTCAACTAAAAGGAAGAGAGATCTAGAAAGGACTCGTTCAGGCCATAAAAAGCTTAAAGCAACCTTCCCTCAACCAAGAAACTTTCAGATATCAGATCACTGTGCCCATTTTTTCTAGCTAACATGCCCAATCAATATGTTCACATGTTCACATGTATGTAGGTCACCAGGTGGATAGTGATTGCTTAAATGATATATTACATTATGCTACTAAATACTACAGCATAGAGATTAGCATCATCCCAAGAGGGTCTGTAAAAGTATCTAGCTGGATTACTGTAGGAGGTCCATTAACTATGATGCATTTCACTGAACTGTTGTTAAGCTTTTAATACAAAGTGGTGAGAACTGGTGCTTTAAAGTAGCTCCATTTATTCCTGTTTTACCAGTCATATTACTTTGTAGCTGTTGAATAATGAAGCTCCCCAGATATTTAAGAATATTTCCTCTCCACTCTCCATTAACTAGGTCATTTATTTCATGTTATTATTTAAAGTGCTTTAGAGGCTTTTCAGTGCTACAACTTCATCGAACAACGTATAAAGAAGAGTACTATTGGACAATAGCTATAGTCACCAACATAAGAAAGTTTTGAAAAGCAATTTTAAATTTAAAGACCAGCCATGAATTTAACCGGAAGAAGTTTTAAATGGAAGTATTTCTGCAGCTCACCTAACATTTGAACTGAAAGGGATAGACCACAGGGCCTTTTCTGTAATGGCTGCAACATTTTTTCTTGTCCATGTCAATTTACGGTAATAAACCTTAGTGGTGGTGAACATTCATAAAATATCCTCTACACAATTCTGCAAGCATAGGCAAGATTATATAAGAAAAAATTATATCCTACAAATAGTCCTGCCTGGGATTGCTTTATTTACATTAGCACTTCTGAAGTAGAATCAATTTACAGGAAGCCAGTACAGTTGGTACAAAATCTGATTGTTCCCCAACTTTCTGTAAGTTGCCAGCTTCAGAAAAGTTGCACTTTGAAGTTACACAGGCACCGTCTCTTAAAATACCTTGCTATTGTCTGGTTTGTAATTAATGAAGAGATTATCCAAGCCATGCTCAATTGTTTCACAGAGAGCCACAACTGCTGTTCAAGCCGAAGCTTGCAAAAATATTTTCTAGCCACAGCAATTCTTTGCAACTCACCAGGCAGTGAACATACAAGCATTCAGTCTGATCTTTCCATGGCAATGCAATCTCATCCAAGACTGATTTCATATCTTATCCAAATCAGCCAGATTTCCAATTCAGAGCTTCATCTTTCCTGGACTAGCAATGTTCATATTTTTCTCATTTTCCTTCTTAGTACTGATTTACAGGGTCTCTCATTTAGGCTGGGAAGCTTTATGTGCATTTCATAAGAAACCTCACACTTCCTATTTATATTTCAGAGTGATTTACTATAGATTTGTAAGAACAGTGGGGAACATTGGGGGGGAGGAATGATAAGAAAATCAGCCAACATCACCTTTAAGAACCAAACAGTCAAAAAAGATTATGGCATTAAACCTGTAAGTTCTGGTTTCCCCCCCCCCCACTCCCCAGCTAACCTATGGAGACAAGTTTGCTGTAAAGATCTATGAAATAAGGTTAGTGATTATACAGAATACCTATTTTTTTAAATCCTCAAGACTACAGTATTTACATACATCTAATTCAATCTTTTTACAACAATCCTTTAGGGCAGCATTCTGTAACTTGATATCCTTCAAATGTAAATAGGTTTGCAACTCCAGGAACTCTTAGCAACCATGGCCAAAAGCAACACCAGTACAACCAAAGAGGACCTGCTTGAGGACTTGCTGACCTAAGATACTACTTTAAATAGCCTATAGAACAAGTATCAAGAGCAGAGACAGGAATATTGACTTGGTTACATCGTGGTCTAGGTGAGGTTTATATCCGGTGCCTTTCTACTTCAATTTCAGTCTCTTCCCTAGAAAATGCAGTTAGCAACCATTCTGTTCAAGTTCATTTTTCACCCGGCAGATGGTTTGTGAGCAGAAATCTTCAGCAGATCATTTCGTTTCATGAAATGCTGAAGCCCAGTCCAATATGAAGAATAAAGAGAAAGCAATGCTTAAGCGAAAGAGCTACCGGAATGGTTGTCTGAATGAATGACAGGGAAGAGTATCTATAAAAATATGCTACGCCTCACTTTCACGAGCGTGTAAGAGAGCGAGAGGCCCCCCGAGAACGGAACACCCGAGACTTTTCTAATAAGAAGTACAGTTTCAAGACGATCACCTGAAGTCTTCCCAAGGGGGAACGGGGAATCTTATAAAGCCACTATTAGAAAAACAGTTGCGATTCCCTGCCGAAACCTCAAGGGCAGGTGCTCAGACCCACAGGGTCCATTCCCGTCGCTCCATCCCGTTCCTCTCCCCGCCCACCTTCCTTCCCGGTGGCAGTGCCAGCCGTCTTCTCCCTCCAGCCTTACCTTGCAAGGGAAGAGGACTGCCGAGGCCACTTTCTCCATCGCTAAGTTCCTGATGCTGGGGGTCAAGGATCCCCTGCATGTGGGGCAGCAGCTCAGCTTCTGCCGGCATTGATTGCAAACCAAGTGCCCGGCTTGGCACTGCAGGATCGGGGGCAGCACATAGTCGAAGCAAACCGGGCACTCGAACAGCGAGGTCAGCTCGTGATGCTGAGGCGATACCGGCCCCCCACTGTTTTCCCCTGCTCCAGGGCTCGAGATCACAGCGGCCGCGGCAGGGACCGCGGAAGAGCCGGCTCCGGCAGCGGAGATGGTGGCGGCCGCGGCGGTGGTGTTGGCGGCGGGAGCAGCAGCCGGGGATGGCGTGTGCTGCTGCTGCTGCTTGCCGCAAGGTTTGTTAGCACTGGGTCCGGCGGAGGACGGGCGGCTCATTTCGGTCGGAACAAACCATCGAACTGCGGACACCGAGCAGATCGCTCACCAAAACCCCGCAGGGGCCCGCCAGTGGAACTCCAAACAACAACCTCCGTCTTCCTGGAGCCGCTGTTCCTTAAGAGAACCGGCTCGGGCCTCGCCTTGGCGCCGCAGGAAACCGCGAACGCTCCAAAGTGTATCAATTTTCCAAAAGAGAAGCCTCAACGTTCCGCGGGCCAGCTCGGCGCTCCGAGCCAAGTCCTTCGCCCCCAACAGCCCTTTCCGCTCCTCCCCCGGACAAACCGAGCGTGGTTCCTTCTCAGCTCCCCTCAACCACCCCTCCCCGGAACATTAATCTGACGCAAGAAAGAGACGGGGGTGGTGTAGTCACAGGCTGCTCCCAAGCCGATGTTGGCGCCTACTGAGCATGCCCTAGCCTTTGCTAATGGTAGGCGGATACGGCGATTGCTACCCTTTCTTGTTGGTTTTCCTCCCGCGGTTTTTCCCCGCGAACCAAACGACTGCCGAGGAAGAAAGAGAAAAAGGGGGCAGAGGACAGCGGGAGAGGAATCGATGGGCACGCGCGCACTGGAGAGCTGTTTTCTCTATTGTTTAAAGCGTAGCGAAGCCGGAATGAGGTTCCCTGACCGCCATCTGCTGGGTGTTTAGCTCACTGCTTTCCCAGCACCCCGACTTTCAAAATAACCCCCTCCTTGTGCTACTCATCCCCAGAGGCCAAGCGAATTAACTCTTGGCTGTTTCTACATTTCTGTGGGAAAAGAACAGAAATACCTTTCCAGTGTTGGGAGGAACTCCCCCGTTCGGTTCTTCCAGCCGGGATTCTCCTTGACGGCGCAGTACAGAAGAAATAGATCGTGAAGCCAGCTACCAGAAAGAGAGGTTTAATCACGAGGATCAAAGTTGAGTGACAATTCAGCTCGAGTCCCGGGCTAGCTAGACAGAATGATCTTTAAACAGAGGTTTTATACCTTTTTGTAGTTTCCAAATTTGTCATTTTTGATTGGTGAGTTTGAATCTGCCTTTTCTGATTTGTTGGTCAGTGACTATTTCTTTGCTAATCCTGCCTGAAAAGTGTTAATTACTTTATTGTTGTGTCCTGATTGTTGCTAGCTGGTTCCTCATTGTGTGTGTCAAGTGTTTGCCATTTAGCCTCAGGCTGCTGTTGACCCAGTTTAGTTGGGTCATCTTGTGAGCAAGATGACTGATCATGTCATCTCTTGGCTCTCAAACCTGCATAATATTGCTGACTTGCAGTCTCCTTGCGAGGACCAGATTAATGTGGAATAATAAACAATCACTAGAATAATGATGTGTCTGCATAATTACTGGAATAATGCTGTGTTAGTAGTATGTGACTAATCTAATGCGCATTACACTTGGATACAATGTACGTAGCAAACTCTCTCCATTGTATACCCGTGAGAAATGAACCTAATGTATTACAATGTGTATTTCAATGTGTATTCCTTTGTTCCTGAGAAAAGGGAAGTATAAAACTGAAGTCTGAACCCGCCCTCGGGGTTCAGAATTGCTAGTTGCTATTGCTTCTGAACCTGTGCAATAAATCTCTCTGGAATTCGTAAGAGTCCTTTCATTTTCCACAAGAAGGTGACCAGAGCAACAAAGGTGTACTAACAGAAGTAACAAAACTGACCTGATCACAAAACAATTTTTCCCCAAATACATGGGAAAGTGTGCAGCTGAGATAAGCGGCAATAGTAAATGAGTAGCATTTAGTGCCAATACTAGTAGTGGACAGGTCCACTAGCTTTGTCACCTTCCTGCATTTATGAATGCTTTAATTGTTCAGTAAAACACATACTGCTGATGAAAATGAAATGATTTGATATCTGCACAGATTTAAACAGCTGTGTTTTGAAACCCAGAACTGTGTGGAAACATGGCCTAGTATGCACCTTGGATGGAGTGCAGCTAAGCATTTAATATTTTTACTCCATATGTGCTTAAAGACCTATATTTCTTTCAGCATTATCACCAATGGCCCTGCTGGAAACCATAATCCATGTAGTTGGAGATATGCAGTTTGTGGGAGGGTTCTGTAAACAGCATTAACGCAAGCAGCTGTTCAATAAGGCAGGATTCCCATATTAAGTCAGTGTTCCCACTCAGCCATGGAACTCTCTGAGCAATTTGGGGCCAATCGATCTCAGCCCAATCTACCTCCTCCCGGGATTGTGGTGATAAAATTAGGGAAGATTGTTCTCCGCAGCCACAGAAAAGTAGAATGTAAGTGTCTTGAACAAATATATTATACCATAAGACAATTTCATTAGACTTGAATTCTAAGACTCTAATCAGATACTTTGCAATTATAGAAAAGAGTTGTGAAACAGTCAAATAAATAAATGGATAGCTCAATGATCATTGGTGTCATAAAGAAGATGTAAAATAAAAAAATAACTGTAGAAACAATATACTTCAGCCAAAAATGAATACCATGAATTAATGTATATTCTGGAAGAAAATGTCAGGAGTTTAAAATAGCTTTTCTAAAGTTGTGCTCGAACAACAATTCTCAGGAACCTCAGTTTGTTTGGAAAAGAGAGTTATTTTTTTTTAAAAAAAGTATATTAAAGTGTCATATTCCATCTTATTATTCTATTGATAATAATGTGTAATGTGCAAATCAAATATTTTAAGATTGATTTTCAGTAATCAGAAACAGTATGGAGCAGCTTCTTTCTGAAAAAATGTCCTTATAGTGAAATGTTACAAACAGAAGCTGGGTTTCCAGATCACTTTGTTCTTCATATACAAAATATATATTCATTACATTTTTGTGAATGAGTTCAGTTATTTTTTTTTTTATCTGCAGTGAATGGTTCCACTGAACAAGATTTCTTGACTTCTTGTGAGCATGTGATTAATCTGTGATTCTAGCCATGAGCCAGTTTTGTTGTTGTTAAATTTAGATGGTCTTTGACTTCATTGAATTTAATTGAAGTAGTCTTAAGGGACTACTTCACACTGGTACACTGCCTGTGAATTTAGCACGAATGGCAATATAATAGATGAGCAGATCAGTAAACTGCTTCTGGCTGAACTTTCATGCAGGAACAAGAGCACATTATACTGAACATCTGAAATATGGCAGCACACAACTGAGATGCCAGGTAGGTTTTCTTGGGTCTCATTTTTTGATTATATAATGCTGATTCATTATCTAAGAAGTGGTGGCCAGGAACGTTCTCCATTTTTAATGTTATGTCTACTGAGATAGAGTGAGATAGGGTGCAAAATTCACTTCTTTAAGAATTCCAGTAGACTATGGATGCAGTGAAGTGCTCTCTTGCAAATACACTGTTGGAAGATGTGCTGAAGGTAAATTACTTAGGTGAAAGGACTATTTCCCAATTTGCAGTGGTTCTTCTACTTCTTCTAGCTAGGAGGCGTGGAGAATCATGATTGAGCAATGGAGCTAGAATGCTAGATAAGTAACCGGAGTGTAAAAAATGCTCCGCTTCTTTCTCTATTGAGTGTCTCCACACCCTTTTTCTAAACATTGTGCTCATTTGGCATAGATAAGAAGTGTAGGTTACATGCAGCTACTGTATTTACTTGCTCCAAAATAAGACCTATTAAATTGAATGGGGTTTAATTCTGATTAGACAAGTATAGAAGATTGCAATGTAATTCTTTATTTTCTGCATCCATTCATGGAGAAGAATTTTTTTTTTGTTGCCGATGATAAAACAAAATTATCATACATAGAAACTAAACACCCAAGGACTATTCAGGCAATCAACCCAATGAAAATAAGGACTGAGACTGTCCCTTGCACTCCCCATCATTATATATTCCTGGTAAAATATTGACTGCCAGACAGCACAACAATAAAATCCATAAATGAACATATAAATGAACATTATAAATAAAGTAAGAATAAATTAAAATGATAACATAATAAGCAATCAGCACATCAGATTAAACTCTAACTAGCAGACCACCGGTGCTTTGGTTATTCAAGGGTAGCATGATATATGAATGCAGAGCTCTGGCTTCAACTCTCAAAAGAAGTTAAGAGAAAGGGGCATTAGTATGCTGAAAACAAAGCAAAGCTCTTTTCTCTGACTTCTTCAGATGAAGCCAGATTCCTGCATTTGCACATTATCCTAATCTTGGCTACCAGAGCCACAGACTGCTCATGATTGGTTAGCATGTATATCATCACACTGAATGAATCAAATGGCAAAGTGGATGAAAATAGTTATAACATGAATTTAAACATGAAACGGGCAGATTTTGTTCCTCTGTATGAACCATGGTGGTGGTGGAAGTAGGTGTGATTCATATTCATACTTTTAAATATATTAATATCGATATTTCATGTCTCTATGTGTAGAATCAAATATTTTTAGATTGGCTTTATTTGTGGAGGGCTTTAGAACTGAAAGTGCATGTCTCTCACAGAGACTTATAGCATCTCTTTCCAGTTTGTTTGTTTACTGATATTTTTCACTGAACAATGCATTCTGAAAATTGGCTATTAAATTCAAGATTTCAATACTTTATAGGCCATAAATTGGGATTGGTATGTATGGGGGTAGCATATGGTTTACAGAACTTAAGCTGCTCTCTCTTGGTCCAAAATGACATTCTCAAGGATGTGTGGATTTGGCAAAAAGGGAAAAGTCTCAAAACTTCCAGGAGAATGTATCTAGATCAGAGAAGATTCTTGGGAGGATTCTAAGGAAGAAATTGGATAATGTTGTGTCACTATCCTCACTTTTTCTTCAAAAATGATTTTCTACACATAAATAAGATTGGCAAAGTTGCAGGACATTCATAGATTGCAAATGGAAGACCGTGAGCAGATCATTGATTTAAGTTATCTTCAGTGTGAGTGCAAAGCATCTACCATTTGTGGAAGGCAGGATTGCATGATGTTCTCAACTAAGCCCTTGTGAGAAGCTATTATAACATCTTCCCTTGTTTTCTAGCTCTGTGTCAAGAACAGCAATGCCCATCTTTAACAGAACAGTTATCAAGTTAAGTCAGATTTGTTTAACAGAGTTGGAAGGGACCTTGGAAGTCTTCTAGTCCAACCCCCTGCTCAAGCAGGAAACCCTATACTATTTCAAACAAATAGTTGTCCAAGTTCTTGTTAAAAACCTCCAGTGTTGAAGCAGCATGATTTCTGGAGGCAAGTCATTTCACTGATTAATTGTTCTAACCGTCAGGAAATTTCTCCTTAGTTCTAGCTTGGTTTTCTCCTTGATTAATTTCTATCCATTACTTCTTGTCCTGCCATCTTGTGCTGGCTCAAGCTGTCTGGTATATGTAATGAACTTCAATTGCTTTGAAGTATCCTCTCCATCCAATCGACTGCTTTGCTTACAACAGGAGTGTCCCCTGCTGTGCCATCATTGAGTTATGCTCTGGATATTACTGCGCTTTGGAATGCCTATGGACCCATACCATGCTTCATATGACTTTCCCCCCATTAATTAAAACATATGACAAGCATTGGACAAGAGGGCTTGATGAATCAGGGTTTCTTCCTTCTACCAAGTGTATCAATCAGCTGCTAAGAGGATGCAGTCCTGATTTTGATTCCAAGTGCCTACAGTTCATCATTCAAATGATAAGACTGCAGCTGGTTTTGATAAAAAATTTCAGTGTAGTTTTTTTGCAACCAAACCTCTTGTTCCCTTCCGTTTTATAATGCTATGTTCCTGGTACTGTTTCTTTCATTACAGTAGTAGTACAATTAATTTTTATGACCACTACTTATTTAGTACTAGGCAAATACAGAGTGCATGATGCTCTGGATGAGGTAGAATTTTCTTGGAATAATGGAACACTGTATAAATTAACACCAAATACTAGAAATTGTGATTTCCAGCATTTGGGGAATCAAGTAGAACACTGTGAACTTACAGATATGAATGTGTGTCCATAGGCAATGCAGTGTAATGGTGTTCCAAAGGACAGTTGCAGAAAAAGGGGAATTGCCCAATGAAGTCCATGCTAGATCACAATCCCAGTGCTTAAGCATCAGAAATATTTTTCTTCAGTCACAGTTCATCTGGGGGCACTAGAGCAGAAGGTTAAGATACAGAATTGACTAATGACTTCAAAACTCTTTTTATATTTCTGCAAACGAGGCATAATTGTATGATCAAAACCCCTCTTGAACCATCTTACTTCCTGGAGACATTTGTAATTTTGTCTTCTGCCATGTCTGAACATATATTCATTGATCTGAATGACTGAAAAGACTTGACAAGTTGAAAATAGACACTATTGCATATTTTATGGGTATGCATGTAGGTGTTTGAACATGTTCAAGTATCATTACATTGAGAGTCATTTCAATGGATTTTAGAGGTCAGAACTGTTCTTCCTTATTTATAAAGAATAACATTTTAATGGATAATGTACCAAACAAGATTTAAGACATTGCAATCAGTAGAAATTCACAAAGAAAATAATAATTCTCAAAAACAGTCAACAGTTTGAAAAATGAACTTATTTCCTCCATACTCTATTAGAGAGGAACCATTTAAGAGTCATTTAGTTATGATGATAGATGTAACAGTGATTGAGACAACAGGGTTATCGTAGTTGAAAATCGTACCTTACTGCATTGGGAGCAGATTTCATGGCATCTGTTTACTGCAATGGATTTGTACTACACTTTAGGGACTTATGCCCTATATGTATCTGCCAATGACATGTGATATTCTGTTGAGAGCTGCTGCATTTTTCTTCTTCTTTTTGGCACTGTCAATTTAAGTTGTAGTGCGTCAGTTGGCCACTGCCACAACTTTCTTGTATGTTGCTGTAACCCGTAGAGTCACATAAACCAGAGAAATCATTTTCATCACTCATTCTTATGACAGGTTTTTACTTCTGAAGCTGTGTGTTTTATTCTCTCTGCCAGAAGTTTCTATGTTTCTGAGCATTTTGTTATGTTCAGCGATGGCATTTCTTTTCTATCTTTTTGGATTATTTAAAATATGTTATTATGCCCAATTTCAAATATTACAACATCGTAATCAGAAGTTTCTGGCTAATGCAATACATCATTGCAAACTGGAAATTGCTATCAGAACTGTAACAGCTCCATTTGGTTCCTCCCTCTCCCACACCAATAAGATTCTTATCCTTAGTGTGGTGTTTTGTTCCTGGGTGTATTTATCTTATCATATTTCTGCAAATCTCCAGGTGATCCTCCTGTATGTGGGTGATGCTTTCTTGGCTACGTAAGTAAAGACTCATAGCATAATCTTGACAGACTAAGGAAATGATTACAACAGATATGATGCTATTAACTTAAATTTCTTCCTTAACACTTAAATTTTAAATACAAAGATAGCAAAGAAGCATTCATTGGAAGTGGTGTCCCCTGCCACCAGACTGTCTCCTAATGATCTCAAGTGATTCTCTAACCCATGGTCTCCATTGTTATGCATCAATGGATCCCTTTGGAATTTTGAAAATATGTTGTGGGTGCTCCCATAAAATGACCACTTTTCAAAAAAAGGCAAATTTAATTTGAGATGGCTTTGTGACATTAGTCTGCAGATCCAGGCATACAATAAAATCATTAGTCTTTAGGGTGCCACATAGCTCGCTTTTATCTGACAAATTTAGTATCATACATATCACTTTTCTAAATACCAAGTTCTGCTTTTCAAATCATGTTAATACAATTTGTTTAAATTTGGTTAGTATGTTGCCTGAATCAAGCCACTCTGATTCATAAATAATAGATTATACAAACCACAACTAATTACGTGTTATGCAATTGATCCTGGTTAAACAAACCATAGCTTATAGTATGCAAACCAGGTCAGAATGAAATTATTAATATAGCATATACACAAGTATGTGTCCACAAAAGGACATACAGTATGTGCATGTTACACATCCACCCACACAAACACAAATTTGACCTTACACATTCTTTAAAATAACGATACTTGGAGCATCCAATATGGTGATACCTCATTTCCAGAATGTCTTGCCCTATCCACCAACTGTCTGCACCAGTGTCAACATAATACTAATGCAAATCTTCAGTTAGCCACTATAATTGAAGAGATCCACTTCAGATGTTCTGAGCGCTTTCCAGAGCAGACAGATTTCAAAATAAATATAACAGCTTGTCATTCTTATGAAACCTTAAGATAACAAACAGAAAAGAAGATGGATTTTGTAATTCATTATATTCCCAGATATAGCATCCCCTGATGGAAAAGCAATAACTTGCCAAAATGTGCATCTGCTTCTGTTTATTTCTTTTTCCTCCTATGGACCTTGGAAATAAAGAATGCATTTTAGAATACCACCTGGGAGTTTGCACGTAGGCAGAAAATAATGTTGGACAACTGCAAGTCCATTTTTGAATAGTATCTAGGGATACATTTAGAGACCAAAAAAAAAAAAAAAAATGTTGGCCAACTGCAACTCTTTAAAGTATATGTGAAAGTTTGCCTGAGAAAATAAGTGATGTTACTGTAACACATTCCTTACAACTATATCATAAATGCAACATTCCACTTACAAGCACTTGAATAATGAATAATACTTTAATGCATGCTTTGAAAGATGAGATGGGTATATACATTTTGCTACCTGATATTTTGACCCCATTCCAAATCACCACAGTAACAGTCTTGTTCTGTATTGAGTAAACTTGAGCATAGCCCAGTAAGGGCCCATGTTTTACACTTAGAAAATTACAGGTTTGTTGAAAGGATCACACAGTAGATACGGAAGATCTCCTTTATTGGGGCACTAGAAAAGTGCTGCCAACAAAGTGGACCCAGCTCGCTGAGTCTGATGCTCTTCAGGTGTTCTGGACTTAACTCTCAGAATTCCTAAGCAGGAAAACTAAAGGTCCATGAAACTGGAGCTTCAAGAAACTTGACATAGGCAGCTTTGGGTCCCACCCCCAAAAGTGATGAAAAGATAGAGGCATGGGTTAGTATAGCCTGCTCAACAAATCTTACATACAGGAATTCTGCAAGCTGCGGGGGAAAAAATCTATCAGCCCTCTTCTCTACCTAAGGACGATGGATTCCTAAGGCAATACAGAACCTGGGAAATTGCCTTTCATGGACTCAAATATTTTGTTAGGTACCTTGGTTAGGACTATATGATCTGGGCTGTAAAAATACAAATGACCACAGGATGACAGCAAAAACTTAGAATATTCTGCTGGCACTGTTGTTAGAATGCAGTATTACAGGCTAATTCCACTCACTCCAAGGAGTTCGATCCTGATGGGCTCAAGGTTGACTCACATTCCATCCTTCTGAGGTCAGTAAAATGAGGACCCAGATTGTTAGGGGCAATATGCTGACTCTGTAAAATGCTTAGACAGGGCTATAAAGCACTGTGAAGTGGTATATAAGTCTAAGTGCTATTGCTATCTTGGGGTCCTCTGGATTTTTCCCACAATAATTCTGTGCAATAAAAGTGCATAAAATACCCACAGTATGAATTTTACTTTATATCTGAAAGTTCTGCAGCAGAATATTGGAACACCTGCTCATCAGCTGATGCTGAAATGCGAGTCATGCAAATGGGTCATGCAACAAGATCTCCGACACACAAACAAGTCTGCAAAAGTATGGAGAAGAATACATTAAATGTTTTAGGTTGGCTAGATCTAAACACAAAACTGTAGAAAGGTTATAAAAGACTTGAAACAAGGACTTCAATTATCAGACAGTACTACGTCGAAGCAGTTGCCAAGTGGGAATGAGCTGAAATTTCTACACAGTAAAGAGAGACTGACTGCCAATTACAAAAAGTATTTGGCTGTAGTTATTGCAACTAAAACTGAACTAAGCAGTTTATGAAATGAAGGGGTCCATCACATGCTGGATGCTTCTTTAAGTAATAACATGAAACATGAATGAGACTTGGGCTTATTTGTTTAGTTAGATTGTTTATATGTCTATAGGATATCACACAACACATCAACTCTGGTAACATTTAGGAACAAATAATAAGCCAATATTAAAATCCAAAATTTTGTCAGACATAAGTATAGTGCAGTCCAACAGTAGCAGCACACTTTTATATCCCAAGCATGGATAAGATGAGATGCTGAGCCATCTGCATTATTTTTAGGGGAACAAATATGCACTGAATTAGTCAGCTGTGTAAAGAACAATGGTCAAATAAGGTATTTCCATCCTTGTTAAATAGGATGATTGCTGAACTGATTTCTCTTGTTTTCCCCAGTGGTTGGAAACAGATTGTAATTTAAAGCAGGAATCAAGATATGGAATTTAGCAACATTTCACTTTTATTCCCAGAAAATGTTGAAAGTATTCAATTCAATCTAATACTACTCTGTATCTGATAACTATGCCAATTGCATGTCTGGAGGATCTCTATTTTTCCGTCCAAAATCCAAAGTGACCCAGGGTGTTTTTCTCTCTCTCTCAAACTATGTTTGCATAATGAAGACTTTTGGAAACTCAAAAGCTTTAGCTAAAAAGCTAAAACTTTTGAGTTTCAAAAAGCTTTCATTATGCAAAGACAATTTAAGAGGAAAAACACCCTCTGTGTTGTGTTGCACTTTGAATGGAAACAGATATAACATTTCATTGTTTCCATTGCCCTAAGAAAGACATTACCTATAAGGCCTTTGAACTACATAAAACCTACTATTGGTTTTTAATACAAACATGTTGGAAGGATGGAAAACACTGAGGTGGAGAAAAGAGAAAGGTCAAGAATTTATCAGCACTGAATGCTTATTCATATATTGAGAGAATTGTCGATGTGTTAAAACAAATTCTTAGCTTTCCCCAAATCGGTCTCTTCCAGATGTCCTTTCAAACAATCTACATATTCTCTGTAGACAAGGATACTGAGATTTAAAATCTAACAATCTTGAGGGCACTAGGGTGCCAAAGGTATTTTACCCAAAGGCATATTACTCAACTTTTTATCAGAATCTTACTAGCAACACTGTTACTACCACAGTACTAACTTGTGATAGAACATGTACAAGATTTTTTCACAAATGCTTTTGGGTGGCTCATGACTAGTTGGTGCACAAAGTTCATACTTTAAGGTGAATTAGAATTTTCCAGGTTGTATATATTTTGTAATATGTTGGATTGTACAGAGAGTTTTCAGAGAACTCACACAACTAGTAGCTCATATTTACCTTGCCATTGTTGGTGAAAGTTCCACAAACAACATTGTGCTTCAAATCAAATCAAATCAAATCAAATCAAATCAAATCAACCTTTATTGTCAGAGTACATGTACTCTTCCTTTTTGTGGATTACTGAGATTAAACAGTGATGTTGCAATGAATGCCATTGACTTGAAAGGTTCATTTGCAGTTCTGAGCGCCATCTTCTGGATTATTTCAGAAGACTGTGTGAGAATATTCTCAGTGCAATATTCTCTTGCCACCATAGATTTTGCTGCTTGACATGAGTGAGATAGGAAGAAGACAAGCAGCTAGCAGGAACATGCAGGCTGTACATCAAAGGAGTTTGTAGATTCATTGTATTGGAGTTTTGCATACTCTTGTTCTTTATGATTCTTAGTAATAAATTATATGTTCAATGCGCTGAACACTTTATGGTATTGATTTATGTTTATTTTCAAGGCTTTTTACGTTAGGTTTTAAGGCTTCCAATAATACTAATTTACCCAGTATAATCTTACCATTGTGGATTACCAATAATTCATTTTTATACTTACTATTATTCCATACTGATTTCAAGTAGGAGAAATCAGCAACTTATACTGAAACACTGAAATTGCTCATGGAAAAATATTTCAATTTAACATACAGTCATTTTACTTCTTTGAATTATTTGATGCAGAATTCCTCTATGAAAATATAAACTGACTGAAACATGCAAGTACATTCTTGTCTGCCAAATTCTTTCAAAGACTTTTTATTTTAATATGTATTAATACCTTTGTTTACTCTTAGTTTGCTGTTTTTGCTATTGATTTGCTATAGCTGCAAAAATCTATTGTCACTATTTTTACAGAAAAAACTTAACATTTTTATCCTTTTGTCCAACAATCTATCCAGTGTGTCTTTCAACTTTAATATTACCTTGTTAAAAAGGTATGATTCCAGATTCACATTACTTGTAGTATTAATGCTGTCCATTCCATGCTTATCCTTAACATTACCACTTCTAAAGAGACCTTTGATCTAAGCCAAAACTGTTTATATCATAGTAATTTGCAGAGATTTCAATGTTCCAGACTTTTACAAAGTGAGTAAGCTCTAAAAAAGGGGATCCCTGTACATTCTACTGCAGGGTCCTCAAACCTGGCAACTTTAAGACTTGTGGACTTCAACTCCCAGAAGTCCAAAGTCTTAAAGTTGCCAAGGTTGGAAGCCCCTGTTCTATTGGACAAAATATGAATCTTTCATGCACACAAACTTCTTAGGATCATAAGGTTTTCCTGCATGAAGATCTTCAGAACATGAAGATCAGGATTGAAACAACGTGCATGGGGTATGTAGATCCCTGTTCAGAATTAGCGTGCAGAAGCTCATCATATGGAAGCAAAGACCTGGTCATGTATCTTTTTATTTATTTAACAAATTCTTATGGCCACCCATCTACCAATGAACATAAATAAGCACATAATATAATGATCAAAATCATTTGGAGAAAAAAAGACAAAAATAAAACCAAGGCCCCAATGAAATCTTAGCACAAATTGAAGCATTGCCTAAGAATAAATTAGAATAAATCTAGACCATGGCTTCCTAGTCCTACCAATAAAAAAACACTGCAGATATTTTTTCTCTCTCCTTAATTATTTTAGAGAGGTGAAAAAAAAACAGGCAAACTTGAAATGGTGGTGAAAAACACAGAAATAACAGACAGAACACAACTTTTTTTCTAAAAAGTTATAATTTTGAGGAAAGCTAATTGGAGAATAAAAGTAGTCAAAGCCTATTAGACCCAAAGAGCCTCAGGGATATTATTTTGGGCAACTTCATTCTTCTGCTAAAAGAATAGCTTGTTAAATAATAATTTGTTAAAATGATAAATATCACTTTTCAAAATCAGAAGTCAGGCAGACAATATCTTGAATATTTGACTTAATTGTGTCATTTCCCAAAATTATAATTGATATTACATTATATTACGGGCTAATATTGTTCCGGTGCTATAATATGTGTGCCAATCACATTACTAGTTGATGCAGAGATAGCATAATCTGAAGAAAATCAGTTCTGCTTATACTGAACTTCTGAACACATAACTGGGGAATCACTGAGCCTTAAGATGTAGATAAGTTACAATTCAAGCATCCCCATTGACCACGTTGGTTAGGTCTGGTTGGACTGAGATTCATATAGTTGTTTTTTTTTATTAATGATTTTTTCCCTCTACCATAAAGAAACCTTTAGAATAGAAGTGGTTTCTTTGTGCCTGATGCTACTGAAGTATCAGCCAGGGGTGTTGCCAGCAATTTTTTGTTGATGAGGAATGGGGCTATTTCCATGATTTTCACCATTCCCTTTATTCAAGAGCAAGAGTGCTAAATGCTCATTTTCAGTTACTTCATATCAGTTACATTTCCATTACAGGTAGTCCTTGTTTAGTGACTTCCTTGGACAGCGACGGTAATGAAAAAGTAACTTTGTGACGAGTTGATGGTCACACTTGTGGTCACTAAATAAGGACTACATGTACAGACAAATGCTCATGTTGCTGAAATCCATTGTATCTTGATGTATAGATTAGCAATTGAGTGAATTGCACAGGATGCTAATTTTTCCTGTAATTAGCAGTAGCAACTTTTTAAATTAATTCAACCCATAGCAATAGGCTGTCTTCCTTCTTCTCACTTTCATTTCAAGGTTCATGTGGGCAGCACCTTTAGAAAAGACCATCTCCCCCAGTCACTTGGATCAGAAGAATGGAGCTGTTCCATTCCAGCTGATGGCAGCTCCTTCCCATTTAGTTTGAATGGCCATTTCCAGAGATGGCACTCTTTTGTGGGGATCCCTGTTATCCACACAGTGATTTTCTTCCCAGTGATGAGAATGTGTATCTGAGAGGAGAACAGCAAACATGCATGTGCACTGTTTCATGCAAAACCGATTTTGAGTTCAACTTTTGTGAGAGAAATGATACAAAGGGAAATGATTATGCCCTATATTCACACAGCTACATTTCAGATTAGGACCATTGCCTACAGTTCTTCATACAGGAGACCAAGTGGCCAAGATCAATTCTGTATAATTCCAGAGTACATGAAATGGAAGATAGTAAGGCGGGTATCAGTTAAATGTTAGAAAAAAAAACATTCCCAACAGTGAAACCAATTATCCAAAGATGTGTTGGGTTCCCTTCATGGGATATGTTTAAATAATGACTAGATAGGGAAAGGATGCTTTAATTTGGATTATTGCAATGAGCAGAGAGTTGGATTCAATAGCCTAAATGACCTCTTCTAACTCTATTAATCACAGAATATTTTGAAATATGAAATGCATTTGTGCATTTATCACTCCATGTTATTAGATTGTTTGAATTTCTTCACACATTTTCATTTACTAGGCTATTGATTTCAGTGGTCTCTCTCTCTCTCTCTCTGTCTCCATCCGATCATTCATCTATTCATCCGTCTATTTATCCACTGAATGGAGACCTCCCAAATAATTAAACAGGGATCTAGGACAACTCCCCATGGCCAACTTGCCACAGTGAATGCACTAAGGTCAAGTCGCCGTGGTCAACTCACCATGGCACAACTTGTCATGGCGAACTCACTGTGGGACAATTGGCCATGGAACCAGAGTTACACTAATATTGAAGAAATGGTGGAATAGAATCATTAAAAAAAGGATGTCAAAGGAGGGACAAAATGAAATATGAGTGGCAATGTACATATACATATAAGTAATTTTAAACAATTAAAGTGAATTGTTGAATTGTCCTGTGGCGAATTGGCTGTGCAAATTGTCCCATAGTGAATTGGCCACAGTGAGTTGGCCATAGTGATTTGGCCACAGAGAGCTGGCTGCAGCAAATTGTCCCATTTCATTTAAAAAGGCACAACTTGGCTACTACCTTCTCATTCTAGCATTGATTTGATTTACTATGCTTTCAGTATTCCATACTATGATATTCAAATCTTCACTTTTTTATTACAGCACTTTAGCACAGGGGTCTCCAACCTTGGCAACTTTATGACTTGTGGGCTTCAACTTCCAGAATTCCTCAACCAGCCATGGTGGCTGAGGAATTCTCGTAGTTGAAGTCCACAAGTTGTAAAGTTTCCAAGGTTGGACACCCCTGCTTTAGCACATCACTTATTGTATATAATAGAGAACACTTTTATGATGTATATCAGGGGTAGTCAACCTTGGCTCTTTTATGACTCGTGGACTTCAACTCCCAGAATTCCTGAGCCAGCACAGCTGGCTCAGGAATTCTGGGAGTTGAAGTCCACGAGTCATAAAAGAGCCAAGGTTGACTACCCCTGATGTATATGGTCTTTAGGTAAGGAATTCGTTCTGGTCTTATATATGGATTATATGGCTTGAAACAATTGGAGTATTTGCCTTACCTTTACTGGCAATGCTTTTGCAGTTTTCCCCGGAAACTGTATTTCTTTCAAGCCCATTCTCAGTCAGAGCTGGATCTTTTAAGAGGGAGGGAGGTGCTAGATTGTTTATTTTAATTTGTTTATAGTTTGGATGATTTTCTAAGAATTTTTAGGAATACTTTTTAATCTGGAATTCATCAGTTTACAGTTAAAAATTAGAAGGGGCATTTAAACCAATATCTCTTTTAAAATTTAATTTACAATGATCAGAAAAGACAGGAAAATGGATTTAAGCATTACTTGTGGGAAAGAGAAAAATAAATAAGCATCTTTCTTTAATACTACTCCAACAATTATAAATGCCTACCTATTGTTAGATGGATAGTTTTCTTTTGGGAGGTCTTGCCTTTATAGAAATATAAATCAAAGAGATGTTCCATTTTCCAATCAGATAATAACAACCTGTTTAAGCTGAAGAGAATACTATATGTTTCATTTATGTTGCACAGCCATATTGGCAATTTTGGTGTCTTCAACATGCTTCCAACCTGTAGTATAAAAGTTGTAGTTATGTATCAAATGAAATAAAATGCATTTGCATTTTTTTTAGAATCACATATTTCTAAATTTAAAATTTAACACTTCACTCTAAAAAGGCTAATCTGGCATAAAAGTAAATTGAGTTTCATTGTTTGTGAAAAGTGGTGATAATTCCTTGTAGTTCTTTATTTCAACCACTTTGGGAACAATTCTGGATTCTTCTGAGGATGTCTAATTAGCCATGGCTGGGACAGCAAGCTATCATTCCCTAGGATATTTAATTCTTCTAAAATGCTCTCAAATGGACTATGAATGTTAAGACAGTCCAAGAGGTAGCCTGAATTATCCAGTGAAGCTGAATGATGAAAGAGAAAAACACATGAATACAAAATTATCTTCCATGAGTTGTGGCAACACCATCAACCTAACAAATACTAAACAGAGATTACTACAAATACATGAAATATAAAATATAACTCCTGGATGTGATATGGCAAACTTAAGACAGCTCTGCTAAAGCGGAGCCGATGACTGCAGCAAAGACCAATGAATTGGTGAACAGAATGGTTTCTTGGAACCTCTCCAGATAAAGAGGATGTGCCCTCCATTCACAGTCACACGATCACAGTTTAGGTGTTTAGTAACCTGTTCACATTTACAACTGGTTGCCAAGTGCCCTATGATCATGTGATCTCCATTTGCAATTTTCTATGCCAGCTTCCCCAGAATGTCAATGGGAAAACCAACACGGAAGGTTGCAAATTGCTGCTGCCTGCCCAGAGGAATCCCTCTCGTCTCTGGGGTCTGACTCAGAAAACTCCCTGCTGAAGGGTTTCGGCTCTGGGTCTGCTTGGAGTTTGGCAGGGAGCACTTTCAGCCAGCCCCAAGAGCAAAAGAACCTTCTATTGAAGGATTTCAGTCCTGTGCTGGCTTGGCCTTTGTCAGGGAGCTCTTTCAGCCAGCCTCCAGAGATGAGAGGGAGCTGAAATCTAATCAGGATTTTCAGTCCATGAGCAAAGAGGGACTGCGGTAGAGTAAGGAGTTCAGGGTGCCTCAGAGGGGTGGAAAGGCCATGGGAGGCTTGGTATAGGCTGCATGGAAGTGTCTCCACTCGGAGGTTGAAAATCTTGCTTGCACATGTAATGTCCAGTATTACTATTAGTTACTGGGAGACAGGAGTTATAGGACTTACATCTGTTTATGAGCTTCTTGTTAACACCTGCATGGCCCCTGTTAGAACAAAATGCTAAGCTAGATCAATATTTTATTTCACCCAGCAAGATCCTTTTTATATTCTTCTATGGGCTGGGTGTTGTTTCTCACTGTTCTCACTCTTGTTGGCTCATGATGTCTCAAAGCTATTTTGAGACCCTCTTATGGGGACTGGACTGGCTGATCAAGGGAGCAAAACACCTTCAAATACTTTTCCACACCTTTAGAGATCTGTGCTGTTCTGCTTCTTCCTTACTCCATCGTAAGTAGCCAACATTGCTGCGGGAGTGGACTCCATGCAGTAGTTTTTGCATGCTGCCTTCAGTGTCAAGCTTTTGGCATCCATTGAACACATGTGGATTTGCTCTGCCAGTTAAAATGAGATTCAGAATTGCCTAAAGGGAGAAAGGACCAACATCACACTTCCAGCTAGTATCAAGAATCAGGATACCTGACTATAAAAGACAAGAGCCCAGTAAAATTGCTGCTCAGTTGCCTGTGGTCTGCTAGGCAAACCACCTTGCCTCTGAGGATGCCAGCTGCAGCTGCTGGCAAAACGTCAAGAAATCCATTGCCTTGACTACAATCTCTAAACCCTGAAACCCAACACTGCACAGTAGCTGGACACTTTAAAGTAAAGCAGCACATTATTTTTTCATTTTTATGTATTTATGAAAAGTAGTCAAAGACTATCAATTTCACATTTGAAGACTTACTTGTCTGCAGCTAATGTCTCCATGTCTCCATTGTAACAGATGAATTGTGGTGAAGTCTAGATCTCTCTGAAGCCTGTTCAGCCAAACACAAAGAAAATGCTATAGAATTGGTTTCATTTATATAGTTTAACTCTTAATTAACTTCGCTTTGTTAACTTCATTTATAATTTGCCATCTACGCAAAATCCTGTTTCAGCTATCCTATAGAAAAACCTATAAGATGGAGAATGAACAATGTTTAACATTATTGGAGGGTGTAATAATCAGTATAATATTAACTAAAGCATCAGGCCTAGCTGGGAGATCAGAGCCAGTCATGAAGGTTATTGTGTGTGAACAAATCATTTCTTATCTCACAGCATATTTCATTTTTTTAAATTAGGGAGATCATGCCTGGCCTTTCTCTTTATATAAACACTCAAGTATAATTTATGTAGCAGAGTTATGGTGTTGATAAAATGGAAAGGAAGTGAATCAAATAAACCTCCCATGGTGAGAGGCAGGGTATGGAAATAATAAGCAAAGATACAACAAACATGAAACTGGAAAATTAAGGGTCATTTAATTGAAGGGTTTGGGTTTTTTTTTTTTGAAGAGCCTTTCCATAGCATTACCTACATCTCTTGATTCTCTTCTTCTTTCCTACTTTGGTTTTGGCTTTGCAATTTGCATAGCATGTGGTTATAATTCTGTAGTTTTTATTGTGACATTGCAACCAGTAGAAAAACATTCAGCGATTCCATACACCAAAGGTTCTTTTTCCCAAGTGAAAAAAAATTGGGACTGTTAGCAAACAAAGGCTATGTTTGTATACATATATATTGAAAAGCTTCTCTGTGGAACTGAAGTGGAGTCCTTGCTGCTCTCTGAGCTTGGTTGTTTGCTTGCAGACATTTCATTACCCAACTGGTAATGGGTACCTGACCGAGTAATGAAACATCTGCAAGAAAACAACCAAGTGCAGAGATCACAAAGGACTCCACAGTTCAGCACTGAGCCACAAATATTCTCTTCTATTGAATTTGAAGCATTGTACAACTCTAGGCAGACAATCCTGAGCACTAATGTGCCTGCAGATACCTCACTGCTACCCTTACGGCGTTTTTTTAATAATAATAAAAAAGAGAGAAATGCTGAAATGTAAAGTGGCAACCTTCAGTTCAATTTTTGTTTACCTGAGTGTGTCTCTAAGCCTAACAGGCAATTTTAGAAAATAAGCATTTTAGCATTTTTAAAGAAATATGCTTACCTAACAAAAAACAAAAATAGTATAGTGTAGCAAGAACCATTTTGAGAGGTTACAGAGAGTAAGAAGGAGATCAGCTATTCCATGAAAGACATTTGGGGAAGTGTGTAGGGCTTGCTTCAATATGCCTAACTAAAATAATATTGCTAATTGTCTTCTGAGCAACTGGACTTAGCTCATGGCATCACACTAATCTTTTTGACCAAAAAATGAGCACTTTGCCAGCAGCCAATTACATTTGCATCATCCCATGTAATATATGGACCAAATTTTCTTCTAAAACTTTCTTTACTGATGAATGTAAACATTTGCAGAATCTTAACATATACACATTGATTGATAAATAATTGCTTAACTTAATCTAAATATTTAAAAAAGGGAAAAAAACATTCTACCTTTCAAATGTCCTGGAGAAAAGTAAACTGTACAGAAATAAGATCACCCCATGACTTCCCTCAGAGTTCAGCTAGTTCAAATAGATGAAAGAAAACAAGAATTATTTTAACATTGCCCAACTTCTCTGACAATTGTAATTAGGTGTTGTTTCTTGTTTTTAATTACAATATCATCCAAAATCAGTATTCCCTAATGTGGTATTTTCCAGATATACTGGGATTACAGCTTTCAAAATTCTTTACCAGCATGGATTTATTTATTTATTAAAAAATTTACAAGGCTGCCCATTTCTACAATACTATGGGTTGTACACAAAAACAATAATTTTATCAAGCAATTAAAAAAGTCCAAATCCTAGAACAACAACAATCAAGTAGACAGGACTCACTGCCCACTCTAAACCAAGGGCTGAAGAAACAGCCAGATTTTGGAAGCCAGGATAAAGAAAGCTTCTCTAAACAAAAGCAAACATGATTATTCAAAATGTATAAAAAGTTTAGCAGCTGGGTAAGAATAAAATTAAATTAGTTAACACTTCTGGATATAAACAGGACAGTAATCCTGTGTATGATGATTTAACAATAATCCCTAATAAACAGGTGGTACTTGTTTAAGAGAAAAATACACAGAACTGTAGTTCTTTTTCGGTGTATAGTAAAAAAAAATGACTGGAACAGATTCAATTTTGTAAATCAGTTGCACAGCCTCTACTTACACAGTGTATGTGATCCAAGATAAAGTGCTGCATTGTTTCTTTCTCAACAAATTCAAACAAGTGAACCTGCCAAGAAATATTAACATCTACAGTATGCCCATAAAGTGGTTTGATTCCAGTAAGAACAAAATACTGGAAAACATTGTGAGAAATAATAATTACCTCATTCAGCATTATCACAGACAAGCATTGTTTATTCTGATTTGAATAACGTGTCTCCTACAGTTCACCTTAGTAAAATCTGCCAGAACTGGGTTAGAAAAATGTGGATGTTGTCTAAAGAGCAGCAAAATAATACATAAAAGTTAACTCTTTCCTAGCATCTAGTGGGTTGTTTGAATTTCTGCATCCACATATGGTTTCCTATTTTATCATATACAGCAGTCTTCCCCAAATAGTCAATATTATAGGTAGTCCATGTGTGTGATGCTGCAACCATCGTAAATACATGCCGGTTGCCAAGTGCCCAAATTTTGATCAAGTGATTGTGGGCATGCTGCCACGGTCATAAGTGAAGCAGCCAATTGTGCGTCACCTTTTTTAGTGCCTTTGTAAGTTTGAATGGTTGCTAAATGAATTATTATAAGTCAAGGACTACTTAAATTCTTAAAATTCTGGCTTTGAATGGGTGGTATTCATTCTAAGTATTTATTGTGTACTTTTGAGTGTTTCTTAAGTTGTGTCTAAACTCAACTAAAATATTTCTCCTTTCCAGATATTTAAAATATCTTATCTTACTTGTTCAGTAAAGTGATCCACTTCGTATTCTACATTTGCAGCAATGTAAGTATCATCCGTGATAAAGCAGATAGTTGCTCTCTGACTTTCTCCTGCTGTCCACAGAATATCGGCTAGTGCTGTTGTAAGAGTTTTTTCTTGCTCTTTGAGGCTTACTTCAGATATACTGGAAAGCCAAACAGAGAGAGGTCATAGGGAACCATGAAAGTAAATCAGGAGATTTTGAACCATTTCTTTTATTTTATTCTCAAAAGGCATTGGGTTGGATGTGTAAAAAAATGCCAAACCCTGATTTAGCACAACGTGCATAAGTTAAAATAAAATATGCAAGACTTGGGTGTGTTCTCTCACCATGCCTTTTCCTAAGTGGCTGAGAAAAGGTTTCAGAAATGGTTCCTTTTATTAACTGCAAGTGTGTCATATATCATGAAGTAAGAAACTATGGTCCATGCTTTCCATGGCGAGCTCAACAAGGTAGAATCAAACCTCAGTTTCTTAAATTGGGTGATGAAACTTACAAGGATTACTGTTACATGCAAGTAAGTCCAGTAAATGATGAGCAATCCTGTTGGTTGCAATAATATTGAGAAGTGAGGCATTGAATGCTGGGGGTCTACTTTCACATATTTAGCAGAGCAAGGTCAAAAGCAGAAGAAATAAGATCTTTGGAGATGCTAAGTTTAAAAGGGATTAAGCAAAATGATAAAATGGCTGCTCATAGAAAGCTTGGAGTTGGTAAGAAAATCAGAAATGGACACCTCTTGAAGGGAGGGTTTTTTCCCAAGAGTACAAAGAGATAAAAAGGAGATAACAAGCTATGAATCTAAGCAGAGACACAAACAGGTGCAAAGAAGGAGAAAATTGAGGAGCAGAAGTTTAGCCCAGGGCATAGTAACTTAAGAAATGTGAACTTCAGTTCCCAGAATTCTCCTGTCAGTATGCTGGCTGGGAAACTTTGGGAGTTGAAATCCAATATGTAATATTGTCAAGATTGAGAAACACTGGCCTAGAGCAAGGGTCCCAATCCCTGGTTTGTGGGATGCAGGCAGCATGTGAAACCATGCCACCTCCATTCCATGGAAAAACTTTTCTCCACAGAAACTGGTCCCTGATGCCCAAAAGTTTGGGGGGCCACTGGCCTAGAGGGATGGTTAGGAAAAAGAGAGAGGCAATCTACCTGTGCCTGCAGAAGGGGCACACTGCAGACCTCAGTGGTCCAGGAATTCTGACTGGTGGGATACAGGAGAAGCATTCTTTCTGGCTGGTGGGATACAGGTGTGGCTTTCACGTTTGGAACATCATGTCCCCCCAAAGTGAGATCTGCACCCATCCTTTTGGCTTTGCAAATGGGCCTGAAAATCTGACTCTGTCAACTGGCTTGGGGCCCCAATGAGGGTATGTCATTCTGGAAGTGGTTAGTGGACTAAGATAAGACCCCATCTCTTCCCTGTGTGCATCTTGCTGCCTTCCCATCTTTGTCATTTTAAATTAGTTTTAGTGTTAATATTTATTTTAATATTTCAGTGTTATAGCCTGTTGTTTTTATTGATTGTAAACCACCTAGAGTCACATGTAGGCAAGATGGGCAGCATATAAGTGTGAAGGAGATAGATAGATAGATAGATAGATAGATAGATAGATAGATAGATAGATAGATAGATAGATAAATGTTATTGTGGGCATTTATGGAAGAGGTTGGGAAGAATCAGTTTAACTAAGTACTATGCTATTGTGTAATGGGCAGTGTAATGGGCAGGGAGCACTAGCTATGATTAAGCTTCTCTGCTGGGTGCATCCCACTAGGTCCCACTGCTTATTATTGTTTAAATTATTTCTCTGTTATACTCTCTGTATTATTTTTCTAATGCAAATTATAAAGTTCCTGTCTATTCATAACTTGCAGTGGAAATTGCTCTTTAGTGCTTCTCCACTGGACAGAGATATGACAGCAAATTAACATGTACATGAATTAAATTGATGCTGTTAAACAGAGTGATTCTACTTGGGAGTTCTGTTGCAAATCTACTCCTCAAATTTAGGACAGAGTACTGTCTGAAAGATGAAGTTACATATGGTTAATTAAAGGAATATTGAAGGAGGTTACATTCCTTCTCTGGACTTGTGAGAGAAGAGTGGGAGATCAGAGGCTTGCTGCCCTTCACATGAAAATAGGTGCAATTTTAGAGCCATATGGGATCCCATTAAGCCTTGGGTGTGGTCATCAAGACCTCCAAATTCTATGAGCAATGAATGACTGGAGAGACATATAATTACGTTTCAATTTTAATTAAATTCAAGAGTAAATGAAATAAAATCAGATTTAGATGTTACCTGTGACTTTGGGCACTGAAATCCATGGCAGACCACTCAAAGGCTAACTGAGGCTTTCAGTCCAGACAAAGTGGTGTCTCTCTGCTCTAAGTTATGATTTGCAAATGCTATTACAGGTAGTCCTCGACTTACAACAGTTTTACAATCAGAGTTACAATAACACTGAAAAAAGTGATTTATGACCTTTTGTCACACTTACGACCATTACAGTATCCCCATGTCATCTGATTAAAGTTCAAATGCTTGGTAACTGACTCATATTTATGAGAGTTGCAGTGTCCTGGGATCATGTGATCACTTTTTTTGCGACAAGCAAAATCAATGGAGAAGTCAGATTCATTTAACAACTGTGTTATTAACTTAACAACTGCAGTGATTCACTTAACAACTGTGGCAAGAAAAGTTGTAAAATGGGGCCAAAACTCACTTAACAACTGTCTTGCTTAGCAACACAAATTTTGGGCTTAATTATGACTGTAAGTTGAGGAACATACCTGTACTATGTTCTTCCTGATTCATCTAGAAATTAATAAATAAAATTCTCCCCCATCCCAGATGTATACATTTCCTTACCTTTGAAGGGAGATATTTTCTTCTTTGTTTTGTACAAACAAAAAGTGTTTCATGATGTGAACCTGAACTGCCATCTGGATTGCTGTGGCTCCTCCCTAAAAAAACAAAACCAAGAGTGAATTGCTCTGTGATTTGCTTACACTGTGATACAAATTCAGTGTATTGGGGACCTTCTCCAATGCTTACAGGAGACTGAGCTTTGAGCAACGTACATTCCCAAGCTCTATTTAGAACAATAGTGGGCAAACATTTTTCCAAATCATGAAATTAAACAAAAAGCTATTAATTCCTTGCTTTCTGCTTAGGCAGGAAGAAGGTATCAAGCTGAGGTCTTGGAAATCATAGAGCTGGCCAGATCCAGGAAGTACAATATCACAATTTTAGTATGTATAATATTTTCCAGATTTACATAACTGTATAAATCAGGTGGCATACATGTTTAATAAATATTGCTCATATTATTTATTTATTTATTAGTTTTTTTCATATTATTTTTATAAATATCTCAAAGCAGCAAATAGTCTTTTCTCCTCTTATTTTCCTTACAATAACAAGCTTGGTAGGCTGAGAAAAAAAAATTACTGGCCTAAAGTTACCCAGACACATTTCATGCCTAGGGCAGGACTAGAATTCACAGTCTCTTGGTTTCTAGGCCAGAATCTTAATCAAGACAACAAACTGGCACTTGTTATTATGAATATGTTTTGAGTTTGAAAGATGAATATTGCCAACATAAAGTTGGCATGCTTTTCTTGGCTTTACATGACAAACTTCAGAGCAGTTACAGTAGTTCCTAGAGTCAGCTGGAAACGTCTGAACCTATATAGGATGGATTTACCAATTCCCTTTCTAGAAAATGCAAATGTACTTTAAAATCACATAATCGGTTAAGAAAGTCTTCTCCAACGTGCTAGACTTTGTGCAAGCATCTATTTTCCATATGTTGTTCTGGATCCTGAACTAAGATGCTTTGTAATTCAAGACCAGACAGGGACAACTCAACGAAGATGGTTATAAAGCAAATATTTATTCCAGGAATACTTGGCAGAACTCACGATTCTGTAGTTTCATCTGGAAGCTGTACATTTGTCCATTTTTGTAGGTAAAATCAGTAATTCCTCCATATTCACTTTAGCCTGGTTACAGGCGATGTCCATGCGTGCGGCATGATTGGTTTTGCACAAAGACAATTAAACACGAGCTGGCACGTAGCCAGGATATCCTGTGATGAACTTAGTAGTTCCTCCCACTGACGTATTAACATAGGATTCACTGAACAGCTAAAACTACATTACCCATAAGCCATCTCTTAAGGAGACAGCACTTAACCCTTTAAATGCCAAACATTCTAACATACAGTTCTCATCTAACTAGCCAGTCCAGAACATATGTACTAGATTTTGTGTAAGTATCCATTATGGCAACCCACAGAATGCTGGTCTAAAGATATACAATTCTCTAAGTGAGAAAGATTGCTTGCAATCCATTTTTATTATTCCAGAAAAGAGAAGACAGAAATAATTGAAATAGATGGATGTGGCTTTGGTTGGACCTTTTAGTAAATAGGTGAGATCCTGATAAAATACTTATCAGTTAAAAAACAAAGTTGGGCAAACATTACCTTATCCATCTCTAAGGCATAGGCCAAATCAGTAAAAGGGTGGTGAAACCTGAAATATGATTTTTTCCATTCATAGTTGAAGACTTGAAATGTGTTTCCAAATAACATCCTTCGCAATTCCTTTGAATGGTAAAAATAGATTTATTTAGTATACCATTAAGCTGGCCAACAATCAAAGAGCTCTTGATGATGTTATTAAAAATCTCATATATACAATCATTGTAGGACATAATAATAAGAGAGCCAAGCAAAAACAAAAAAGCCCTGGAGCCAAACTATATAGAGGTAGAAGAAAAAGCAAAATAAAATCACTATCTCACGAAGCAATCAATAAAACCATTCTTAAGATGTCATAGAGAGTAAAGAGCTTTGCCTCTGTTTTATATTAGTCCTTCTAAGCAGCCATGCCAAAACAAGGGAATTCCATGGCATGCAGCTTTTTGTTTTGCAACCTTTGGCAGTGAAAATTGGGCATTGGTTAAACATCTTAAGTCCCAGACAGCCAAATAGGAATGGCAATAACCCCAAGTTAGTCCTTGCTGTAGCCCTGAAACCCCTTTAAACTGATCCCTTCCAAGGCAGTTCATTAAATATAATTTTAGTGGCCTATCTCCAGAACAACACTACAGCAACAAAATAAACAGAGGCAGGTTATCCCTAATGTTTAAGGGGTGCTGGAAATCACTTTCAAACAGATTGTGGTAGTCAACAGGAATAAACAGGTAATAGCACTGGAACTAGAGGATGCAAAATCATGGAGATCACAGTAGTTATGTTCATTTGATTTGCTAGTCTGAGTTAAATTAGATTATAATATACAAGTCAACTATGTCTTAGCATGCTATGTGAACCAGGCTATCATATTAAATCATAATATGGTTTGGTTGGTTGAGCATCACTTGTTAGGCAAACAAAGCAGTTGTGTTTCATTAATCTTGGTTTATATGCTAGTTAGTAGCAGAGGGTGACAAAAACAGAAAACCCTTCTTCACCAAAATAACTCATGTAATTTTAGACGTGAAGCACCATCTTTGGTTGTGAGATCCAGTTCTAATGTCTACATTGCTCTATACCTAATGAGGTATCAGGTTTGTGCATTTCAAGTGATCATTCTCCATAAACATCTGTTTTAATTATTCTAACAGTGGTATACTGCAGTCTGCATCCAAACAGCGTGGCTGGATAAGAATTCTCTGTTTCCTTAATTCTGGCAAGATTAAGTTTCAACTCATGCTTAATTGATAAGATCTGCCTACCAGAGCCATTTCCAATGAGATGGGATGCCCTCCTAGGTCTGATGAAACAATTACAGCTTTGGGAATTGAATATAGAGTATTAAATGGAAACCTGCTCTGTTCTGAGGGGTTTTTATTTTGAGATGTTCCAGAAGCATCTTCTTTATCATTATCACATTTACAGTCTTGGTATTTCTGAAAAAGGTGAAGAAAGGGACAAACAGAAACATGACAGCATTTTAACTGCAAGGTAATAACAAGGTTTTCGTATTAATTTCAACCATTGGTTGAAAATTCAATTCTTTAAGATGCAACATCTTTAAAAAGATGACAGTAATTTAAAGGCAAACAGTATTGTTCCTTTGCAGAAAGTACAGTTTGTACAATAATAATGTGGGTACTTTGTTAGCTTGAACAAATTTCCTTAGAAGCAAATTCCATTGAAATATTTGGGGTTAGGAGGTTCAGAATGAGCTTTCACAATTACCCCTGAGCTACATACAGTACATTGTTCCATTTATAATCTGATTCATGTATTATAGTATACAGCAAAATTAACTAGTTAAAAATAATCAACTCCTTGAATTCCCAAGCATACATGGCAGTTTTCCTTTCTGTTTTAAGAAAGAAAAGACAAATATTTGTCTTACTTACAATTTGATTCCTTTTTACTTCCTCCTGCAATATTTCTATATAACTCAGCTTGGAACCTACCCATCTTTTGAGCTGGCTTAGTTTTACTCTGCTATCCATAGCTAACGGAGAGAATGAAAGACGTCACAATTTATCAAGTGACTGGTGGCACTTAAAAAGGAGAACAGACTTAGTACAATATTCTGAATTACTCAAGAAAAGTGATCTTATTTAGAAATAAATGTCAAAGTAACCATACCACAAGTAATCCTGGAAATAGAGATATGGTCTTCATACAGAAATTTTGAATGATTCTCCAGTCTCCACATAAGTTAATAGTTATTTTAAATAGTTCTTTTTAAATTTGTTTTTGAGTGAAGCCTGATTGTGAGCCATGTAGTCTATTTATATGGATAAAGAGTAATCGCTGCACTCCTGAACTAAGTAGATCTCAATTTTGCTGTTTATTCTAAAACAGCCATATGCATGGTTTATACATCCATTCTGTTAATATTTATTCACTTACATAAACATTGGCTGACTCAAAGTATTTTGGGTGGATTTTTTTTTTAAAAAAACATGCTCTTACTCTGATCCAACATGAGGAATCCAGCTATCAAATTTGAAAGTATCTTTAAACGATTAATGTTGTGCAGGAATGTGCATTTATACATATATTCATACATACCCATCATATTATTTCTTTTCAGAGAAAGCTACATTATACGAAGTTCAGAAAGAGTAACAAAAGAAAGTAGTAAAAGAAAGACAGGAAATAAAAAGAATAGGAAATCTAATTAAATCTAGTTTATTATTTAAAGCTAACCCATTTTTCATCCTTTATTATGAAATTTCTTCATCACTTTCCCCATCTTTAGTAAATAAACTATTAAGATACAGAATTTCATTTAATTTCTGTAATTTTCATTTCTTTAGGTATAGCTTGCAATCTTTTACTCTGTTTCCAACAACAACTATTTTGGCTTTTGATGTATTGCATCATACAATTCATTTAACATTTGCAAATCATTTGAATTTTCTACCAGCAAAATGGCATCATCTGTATTCAAAGTACACACACGTTCCTGTCTCCATGAACACAACTCTAACATTATCACATATTAGACTTGTTTGTTTAATGTTATTATAGGTTAAGGAATTATAATTTATTTATAGAGTCCCAATACATTTATCTATAAATACATTAAACAAAAAAGGTAACATAACATATTACTTCCTGCTCAAAACCATTTGCTAGGCATTCTGTTTTACGCTAAAAAAATATTACCCTATTGCATTCATCAACCAATGTTTAATTCATGCAAAATTTTCCATAATTCAAGCCTATTCAGTTCTTCATATGCTTCTCTAAATCAACAAATATACAATATTTTTTTTTTTTTTTTATTGAAATTTTTCAAAAGTTTTACAAATAAGAATCCACCCCCCCTCCCCAACCACCCCACCCCCCCCGACTTCCCAGAACTGAATATAGGATTATTTAACAAATATTTTAAAAATAACATTTGCAATTTATAAAATAATTAATAATAATAATAAAAATCACAGTAATAATATATATAATAATAATATACATAACATAAACTTTAAAATGAATAATATATACTAAAAAAGAAAAAAAAAATAAAAAAAGAAGAGAGAGAGAGAAAGAAGAAAGAAGAAAGTAGACGAAGAATAAAGCATATATATATATAAAAAAAAAATATATGAATAATAATACGTAAAAAAATGTATATATATAAAAAAGAAAAAGAAGAAAGAAAGAAAGAAAAAACAATCATTACAAATTATAAAAAGGCTAAATAATATTTTTCCATATCCAAATTATGTTGTATAAAATTTATCCATTTTTCCCATACCGCAAAAAATTTTTCTTGAGATTGCTCCTTTAAGAAAGCCGAAATCTTTGCCATTTCTGCCAAATACGAAACTTTATGAAACCATTCTTGTAAAGTAGGCAAAGATTCCTTCTTCCAATATTGTCCTATTAACAACCTAGCGGCTGTAATCAAATTTAACATCAATATAACCTCCTTAGCATCACAGTCAATAACAATACCTAGTAAAAATAATTGCGGAGTAAATTTTACCCTCCTTTTAAAAATTCTTTGAATATTCCACCATATCTTAATCCAAAAAGCTTTTATATGCTTACACGTCCACCAAATATGGTAATAGGTAGCATCCAAATATCCACATCTCCAGCATTTCGGCTGTAGATTAGGGTACATAATGGACATTTTCTTTGGGTCAAGGTGCCATCTATAAAACATCTTATAAAAATTCTCTCTTAAATTTTGCGCTTGTGTGAATTTAACATTTCTTATCCAAATAAGTTCCCAAGTATCCATTGAAATCGTTTCACCAATATTCTGTGCCCATTTAATCATACAATCTTTAACTAGTTCAGGTTCTGAATCTAATTCCACTAAAACCCCATAAACTCTCTTAATATGGGTTGGCCTTTGATCTCTTACTTGTTTTAAAAAAATTTCATCTTCTCTAAGCCAGCCCATTTTACAATCCATCTTCCATCTATCCACTATTTGTCTATATTGGAACCATGAATAAGTTAAATTTTCATGTGTTAATTCTTCCAAAGATTTTAACTGCCAGTCTTGGCCATCCCATCTTAGTAACTGTACGTAAGAGACCTTGTCCATATTTACCCCTTTCCTTATACCTTCTATGGCATGCCGAGGTATAGCCCATAATGGTATTTTGAAGTCACTTTTATAATACTTTCTCCACACTCTTAGCAAAGAGTTTCTTATAATATGAGACTTAAAAACCCAATCCACTTTTTTATTAAATATTAAATAGGCATGCCATCCAAAAAGTAGGTCCCAGCCTTCCAAATGAAGTATTTCTGTATTTGTTAAATTCACCCAGTCGCTAATCAATGTCAATACTACAGCATCATAATACAATTTCATATTTGGTACCTTGAGTCCACCTCTCTCACGAAAATCTTGCATTATTTTAAGTTTCACCCTTGGTTTTTTCCCTGCCCAAACAAATTTATTAATACCTTTTTGCCATTCATCTAAATTACGTTCGTTCTTTAAAATAGGTAACATTTGAAACAAAAAAATAAACTTTGGCAGGACATTCATTTTAATAACTGCAATTCTGCCCATAAGGGATAACTGTAAATTATTCCAGTTTTTTAAATCCTTCTGTACCTCCATCCACAGCTTTTCATAATTATTTTTATACAATTTTACATTAGAAGCAGATAATGTAACCCCCAAATATTTTACCTTATCAACAATTTCAAAGTCTGTTAAGTTAACTAGAGCCTGTTTATCACCATTAGTCATATTTTTAGCTAATATTTTGGTCTTATTATTATTAATTTTAAAGCCAGAAACACGTCCATATTGTTGAATCAATTGTAATAATTTCACCACCGAAGAAACAGGTTGAGACAAAGTAACAACCAAGTCATCTGCAAAGGCTCTTAATTTATATTCTTTTTTATTAATTTCTATTCCTTTTATTTCTTGAGACTCCCGAATTTTAATCAACAAAATTTCCAGTGTTAAAACAAACAATAACGGAGACAATGGGCATCCCTGTCTTGTTCCTTTTTCTATTACAAAAGCCTCTGACAAACCCCCATTTACAATAATTTGAGCAGTCTGTTTTTGATATATATTGGATAATACTTGTAATATATTTTGTCCAAAATTCATCTCCTTAATTAAACACAGCATAAACTGCCAATTCACTTGGTCAAAGGCTTTTTCAGCATCCAAAAATATCAGGCCTGCAGAGACTTGGTTATTCTTTTCTAAATACTCTAATAAATTAATAATTTGTCTAACGTTATTCTTCATATACCTTCCAGTTATAAAACCCGATTGATCCCTATGTATAAACTGCTGCAAGATCCCCATAAGCCTGTTAGCTAAAATTTTTGCAAAAATTTTATAATCCACATTTAAAAGAGATATAGGCCTATAATTTTTAGGCAAAGTAAGATCTTGACTATCTTTTGGAATCAATGATATAAATGCATTACGCCAGGATGGAGGGATCTCTAACCCCTGTAATAAATTATTAAACAGTTCACACAACGGTTGAATCATCTCTTCTACTAAAGCTTTATAATAAATAGATGTCAACCCATCCGTACCCGGCGCTTTGCCCAATTTCAATTGTTTAATAGCTGTAACAATTTCTTCCTTAGTAATTAAACCATTAATCTTTTTTTCCTGATCTTCTGTTAATTTAGGAAAGTTAACTTTGCCTAAATAATTATTTATATCTGTAATTTGAATATTAGTACCCTTATATAATTTTTGATAGTATTCTAAAAAAGATTTCTTAATCAATTCTTTCTGATAAACCAATTTACCATTATAATTTATTTTATCTATATTCCTCTGTTTCTGTTTTTTTCTTAACTGATAAGCCAACCATCTCCCTGGTTTATTAGCATTACAAAATGTATTTTGTTTCATAAATAGCAAATTAGTTGCAGCTTGATCAGCCATCAGCATGTTAAATTGTGTTTTTAACAATTTTAAAGCTCC